CCATTCAAGTGTTGGCAATTTTTCCTCAGGTGGGAAAGTTATTTACCCACCTACCCAAGAAAATAAATTTTTCCTGGTCCCCACATAAATCTGAAAAAAAAAACATGGAATTCTTGGTCAATGGGAATCAAAATCCCATTGACCAACTTTTCCCCCTTTCAAAATCCAGAAAAAGAACGCCCCCAAAATGGTAACCGGTTTATCTGAATTCTAATTTGATCCAGTTAAAGGGTGACACAAATTCGATTAGATACATGATTATATATTTGAAATTTATACTAGTTTGAATATATGATTGTATATTTGAAATTTATACTAGTTTGAATGCTGTGTTTTTTACTGAAAAGTCACTGGTTCAAGTTAGGTAAAAGTTATTTCGAATATGTTTTATTAATGATATATAATATTGGTCGTTTTTAGTTCATTTTATTAATAATATATAATATTTTGATAATTTTTTGTTCAAGATTTTAATATCATTAAATATTAATTTGCAATCCAAATTCAATTAGAATCTGCTATAAATTTAGTGGATAAGATTTTATCCAATACAAATGAATCAAAATTGGATATCATTTGTATTTGGATTTAAATCGAATCTTATCCATTGAATTTATATCAGATTCTATCTTATCCTTATCCAATCTTTCAAAAGAATCCAATATATGTTCACTCACTAAATATATGAGCTAAATATAAATCCAAACCACTCTCTAAAAAGGAAGAAACACAAAACTATGATGGTTCAATTGAAATTTCTCATTCTGTCACAAAAAAAAAAGATGAAATTTCCCATGTTTTTAGGCTTTGATGCTTAGTTTGGTATCAATGGTAAGTAAGGGAAAGTGCGATTTCATCGAAAATATATCCCTATAATCAAAGACACATGCATAGGCTATATGTTTGGTTTAAAAAAAAATAAAAGAGAAACATAAAATTGAGGGAAAGCTTTTAAAGGAATTCTATGGATCCAAACAAAATGAATCCACCCTTTGGAAATCATTTCTTGTGAACTCTGAACCAGTTTAGGTAAGACGAAAGGAGGGATGAAATGTCAACGCAACCCCTTATTTTTGGAATTCAGATCTCCTACCCACAACCCACAAGATTTCTATCCAAGCCTACCCACATGACAATGACATTACAATCGTATATTAGGAACATCTGTTCATGAATGATAACATACAAATATGGGAGATATTCTCAATATACAACTATAATGAGGTATAGGTAGGAGATCCAAACTCTTATTTGTGTGGTTATTTCTTTACCATGTGGTCTAATCCCTATGGGATTAGGTGACGGCACTTGTGGCCAGCAAAAAACATGTTAATGTGCTGACAGCTCCCCACCCCACCCATTCAGGGCGGGGCTTTGGGCTCAGTCCATAAACATTTTACGCTACTCTGGGATTGGACTTCCCGTTCAAATTTTGAGCCTGGCCCATGAACAGATCTACGTGTTATCATTCTTTACTACGATAAGGGGGCATATCCAAGGCAGGGGTCCAATCTGAACCACAGGGCATGGAATATGAACTTGGGCCTGGCTTCTTCAATTTGATTAATAAATGGATCACATTTTTAAATCCAATCTGATTAAATGGTTAAACAAATTTCCGAATCCTACTTGAGCTACATTAAATTCGAGTTGCAATCCTAATGATGCAAAAGGAGTCTTAATTTTTCTTCTCACTCTATTTTTAGACAAAAATACTTTGGCTTAAAACACCTTGCATGTTTGTAAAATAAGCCCATTTTCACCAATAATTTTTATATTGGCAATTAAAACCACTAATAAAATTGGGAAATCTGAAGGTTCCAGCTAGTTTACTTGTAAGGTTTTTGACTGGTTGTAATGGAGACTTAGGGATTCAATCCTGCCTTCACTAGGGATTGGGGGTTAAGAGAGGGATACCCTTGTTGTGTAGTCCATTGATATAGACTGGTATAAGCATATGATCAATCCAATGTTTCACCAAAAAAAAAGATCAATCCAATGGTTTGTGTTAATCAGCCAAAAAATCCCTCCAAGTGGTAGAAACGTGTGTATGTGTGTGTGAAATTCCCTAGGTTAGATTAAAAAGAGTAAAATAATTTCATTTTGTAAACTGTTATGATTGAGTGAAGTTTAAAAAGGTACATCTGGCATTTTGATTAAAGATTCTCTAACAAGTAGTAAGGACAATTTTGTAACTTTAAAGTCTCTATTATGGAGACAATAATGTTTTTTTGGTAATGAGCGTTGACAATAATAGAAGGGAGGTAAGTGGAAAATGCAGGGTTTTTTTTTTCAAAAGGATAAATTAATAGAACCCCCCTGAAGTTTTTGGTTGTTGCCAGAACCTCCCTTGAAGTTTGATAGTTGCAATCACCTCCCCTGAACTTTGTGATATGGTTGCAAATAGGCCTCCTTTTGTTAAAATCGTCTAAAAAGAGGCATGAAAATGTCCAAAATACCCATACAGTTACTCTTCACCAAAATGCTTATCTTTTATAGTTTCTCTTCATATGAATTGTTAGCTCAAACCCTTCCAATCTCTTTTTTGAAATTGATTTATTTTCTAAGTTTACCTTTCATATCAATCGTTAAAGGTAAAGCTGCAACTTTAAATTCTCTTTCATTACTAGTGTTATTGTTTTTAAGTAGGAACCAGCCTCAATAGTAATTGTATGGCTATTTTGAACATTTTGAGGGAGACTATAACAAAGGGGTCTACTAAGCAGAATCAACAAGTACAATCTTCTTTAAAAACAAGGGAGCAGAGGACCAGGTAAAGGATGAATTACATGACAAACCAAACCGTGCCAATGCATGAGCCGCCCTGTTAGCCAATCTAGGAGAGAAGGCTACTGAGAACTCCAGGTGATGATTAAGGATATTCTTGCAACTGAGAAAGAGTTTAGTCACACTCCTCGGAGGGATACCATTATCCTCCAACAAGAAGTTGATCAAAGTAGCACAATCACCCTCAAAAACAACTTTGGAAATTCCATAGGATATAGCAAAAAGGAGACTTTCCAGCACAGCATGGGCTTCAGATTCCAGAGCAGAACACGAGCAAGAAAGGACCACGCGAGCATAGATCAAGTTTCCACAATGGTCCCTGATGATACAGTCAGCACTTACGCATACAGGAGAGGTTGCACCATCAAAATTAATCTTCACCAGACCAGCCGGAGGCTTACTCCATCTACAAGGAGGGACTGGGGCAAGAATATTCAAAAGGTTATGAGAAGTTGGACAGACATCATCCAAAAACCCAACAGAGGATTCCTAGGCTTTACAGATAATTAGTTCAGGAGGCCATACAACTCCGCGAAAAATAACTGCATTGCGAGCCAACCAAAGATGCCAAATGATTGAGAATGCCAGTGGGTAAGGGGGATGAGGGGAGAGAGAAGTTGATCCCAGGAAAATCCAGAAAGAGATCAGCTCAAGGAAATGCTTGAATAGATCAGAATGGACACCCAAATCAGAACCAAACTAGACTGCTTGTGCAATTGGGCAGAATATGAATAAGTGATCGACTGATTCCTTGTCAAACAAGCAAAATGGGCAACAAGAGTCAAATTTGGGCCTCCACAACTTTAATTTATTCCTTGTGGGGATCGCATCATTTAAGGCCCTCCAGATAAAGATCATGATCTTGGGGCGGATCCATTTGATTTTCCAAAATGTTGGCCATTCGCATTCACCATATAGAAAGTTTACATTAGAGGAACAAGGCAGGTTCGAAGACAGAAGTCTATATGCTGAAGAGGTGGTGAACTGCCCATGGGGAGTAAGAGACCAAATAAGTTGATCCTCCATGACATTACTATGTAATGAGAGAGCCAAGGAGAGAATCTCTTGTGCAGCTTGTGGCTGAAAGATGTGGCTAATCAGAGCTTGGTTCTAGGTCATTGATTGATGATTGATAAAATCCGCCACTTTCAGAGGAGGGTTTCTATGGGGCCGGACAGAAAGATCCACAACATTAGAGAGCCAGGGATCGGATAAGGCATCAACGCTCCACCCATTACCAATTATCCAACGGCACCCTTTGCGAAGATGAGATCTACAAGCAAGAATACCTCGCCATATGTAGGATATCCCCGATTTTGATTTTAATTCCTAGAAGTTGGAGGACCTGAAGTATTTAGCATGGAGGACTTTAACCCACAAAGCTGAAGGGAACTTAAGTAATCTCCAACCCAATTTCATGATATGGGCTTTATTGGCTAACTCAAAATCACGAAAGCCCAGCCCGCCAGAGGCTTTTGGTCTACAAAACAGTGACCAACATTCTCAGAGTCAGACCACCAGAAATTTCTGCACATATTATTCAGCTCCGAACATGTTTGCTTTGGAAGGAGATAGGTCTGCATGATATATTGAGGAGCAGCTTGAAGAGTGGACTTAATAAGAACAAATCTGCCAGCATGAGAGAGAGTACGCTTCTTCCAACCCGCCAGTTTAGACTTTAGTTTTTCGACTAAGAATTTCCATTCCAATACTTTAGCTTCATAAACAAGGGCCCACCGAGATATTTATCGTTCACCTTAAAAAAAGGTAACACCAAAGGCCGAAAGAATGATGGAGTTGGCCGGGAATAGAGGGGATTGTTGTTAAAATAGAACATGAGGAGAGGTTTTTATATTTTACCCTTTTTCTTACGTCGAATCCCATCTAGCGGTGGTTACCCAACATGCGACCCACTCAAATTTCCAAGTTCATTTTTTTTTTTGTGGAGAAATTATGCAAAGATCAAGGGCATAATTTCAATTCCATCCACTTTGTAGAAACAAGAGTCAAGTGAAACTGCCAAGGGGAAATGCCTAATCGACTTCGGCACGTGAAAATAAAGAATAAAAGAAAAGAGAGAGAGAGAGAGAGTGTGGGGACGGAACAGCGGAGTTTTGTTTCGAAACGTGGGTTTTCTTCCATAAGATCATAACGTGATCAACGTGCCATTTTACTCTATTAAATTTCTCCCGCCGATTCACATGTCCGCTTGTGTGACGTTTGAGTAATATTTGCCTTTGCCTTTGTGGAATTTAATCAAACATCTTACTTTTATAAATCGGATCACACTCTCCTCTCTCTTACAAGTTACAACCCTTCATCCTCTCTCCTCCTTCTTCTCCGAGCGGAGTTCCAGCTCTCCGTATTCCATTGGAGATGGCAAAGTCTACTCTGCCGTTGGCTTTGAGGAGGAACTGCAATCTAGACCTCTGTCTTTTCCCTCTGGGTTCTCGTCCTTCATCCGATTCCGACAACTCTTCCCTGTAAGTTCACTCTTCTTCTTCTTATTCTGTTCTCAGCTGTACATCAGTTTCAAGGTTTTATTAACATTTCTTTCTTTTCTTTTCTTAATCGAAGGTCGGAAGCATCCATTAGAACCCAACGACAACAAGAACAAGCACAACAGCAGAAGCAGCAGCAACTAACCATATTTTACAACGGGCGGGTTTGCGTCTGCGATGTAACCGATCTTCAGGTATGCTCTAGTTCTTTCTTCTACATCCACTGATCTGTAACTGTAAGTCTGTAACCACCCAATTAGATCGAGTTGAGCTACCCCTTTGCCACACCGAACTCCGGTGAGTTGGGTCGAATAGTAGAAGGGCGCCCAGTTTTGACTCGTTCAAATGAGAAAAAACTCAGAGGAAAAAACAGAAGGAAAACGTTTTGATTTCTTTATTGGGTAGGTAAGAACTTTATTCAATTCAGTCAACCCAAAACCTACCACGTCTCTAGATTTGGATTCTTGATTGTTACAGATTCCAAATCACTTGCCTTTCATCACACCAACGTGGTGGTGTCGCAGGTAATGGTGACCCTTCATTTCCCTCTAGTTAAGCCCAGATCAGGTTTTATTGAATCTGATTAGAACATAAGAACTACTGTTACTAAGTTGTGTTTTTCTTGTAACTAAATGCAGGCAAGAGCTATCATCTGCATCGCGAGGCGAGAAATGGGGGAAAGAATGACCACCCCTCGATCTCCTCTCTCTCCACCTCTGCAATCTCAGCTCCAGAGCCTACCGGGGCTGTCGATGAAGCGATCTCTGCAACGGTTCCTGCAGAAGAGGAAGAACAGAATGCAAGATGCATCGCCTTACAAGCATTAACCAGGTTAATTTGCATTTGGTGGTATCATCACAGAGGTGTTCGACTGAATCAGATTCTTGTAGTTTTTTGCTATGACTGCTTCATCGCAGTATAGTTTTGTAAATTATGTAGTGCCGAGAATGGATAAAGAGTAAAATACTATAATTTTTTGTCCTTTTTTTCCCATTTTTGGTTTTTTAACTTGATTAATATGGAATTCAATTCCAATCTACTTCAGTTGCGTTTGGAGTAGGGTGGATTTCTTTTTCTAATTGATTAGTGTGGATTTGGAATATGGGCAGATTGGATTTGTTGGGGATCGCTGGAATCTGTGTCTGAAAATGAACTTTTTGATGTAAAGGAATTCAGAGAAATATAGAAAAGATTCCGCGAACTTCATGTGAGTGGAATTCAAATTCGTCCCAGGATTGGTCATTTGAATACTAGGATTCAAAATCCAAATTCATTTTGCTTCTACAATCCAAAACTTTATTACGTTCGGCTGACTTTGGAAGGAGTACAAATCTCTCTCTCTCTATATATATATACATATATATATATATATATATATATATATATATATATATATATTAAAATGAAGTCGTCAAGAAATTCTCATTTTTTATTTTTTTTTATTCTATGCAAGGTTCAAAGTATCGTTATGTATTGACTCATATGTATCGTTCCGGGACCCTTCCGATACGCCCCTACAGTGGGTGTATCGGGGGTCTGATCGGTTCAGGGAATAGAAGGGTCCTAGACCATCTCCCCTGAACCAGTTTTGAAAACAAATAAAAAAAAGTAAAACAACGAGTATCGAAACGCTCGATACGTCCCTACCGGCGTATCAGGCATATCAATATTTTGAACCTTGATTCCATGTAATTTTCAAAACAACCAATGGGATGCACTTTCCCGATAACCTAAATAATCGCTTCTCCTAAAATTTCTCCTAAACTACTTCCCTCACTTTCTCCAAAATTATCTCTAATTCCTATTTATCTTCTAAATTATTTTTAATTCTTATTTATCTCCAAAATCATCTCTAATTTAGTAGAGAGTTTCTCTCCTGAATTATCTTTAACTCCTATTTATCCCCTCCCCTACTTTTTATCTATCTATCTAAAGAAAGTTCGAATAAAAAAAAATTAAGAATTATTTAAGTATTCTCAAAAAATTATATAATAACTCCTATTTATCCCCTCCGACGTCACCACTCCTTGGCTGCATAAGAGGTTGAGATTGGTGGAGGGCGACGTGGTTGACGTTAGCTCTTATGGGTCTCCACCACAATGTGTTCGACCATGGTCTGTGCTCCGAGGAGGTCTCGAGGTCCCACCCTCTTCGGGTCTGGCAGAAGAAGGGGCCAAAATGTACAAGCCGAATTGGAGTGTCTGACCGAAGGACACCTTGGAGGTTGAAGGTGTGCCCGAGCAGCTGGCCAAGGGCATTTTATTTCCTGGGATCCATAGAGAGACCAGTGACCACACAAGCAGGGTGCTAGAGAGCACGATCATTCGGGAGTTTGTCGCGGTAAGGCATCAACACCGCCCTTTCTATTCGTTGGTTCGATTTGACGTACTCATTGATTTTGTGTTTTTAGGCTGCCTACGCAGTGACGATGTTGGTCGATAAGATGCATGCCCTTCGTCAGATAGCTGAGGCTCAAGAGGGCGAGTTCTCACGTTTGCAGGCGACAACGACCAAAGATGAGGAGTTGCGGTGGTTAAAGAGCCACGTATGTGAGCTCAAGGAGAATCGCGACAAGGCGTAGAAGGTGACCGAGGAGGAGGTGGTCTCCAAGTACAAGGAGTTCGAGGAGTTCCAAATTGCCCTCGATGGTTTCACTACGGACTCTTAGCAAACCAGCTTTGCTCACTACCAGAGGAGGGTCATGCGTGGGCACCCTGAGATCACCGTGGCCGTGGAGCAATACAGTCCCCTTGATGCTAAGGCACCGCCAGCTGAGCAGCCTACCCCAAAAGACAATGCAACCACCCCTGAGGAGGTGAACCCTATAGATAGTACGGTTGGCCTGGACTGATGTTCTTCTTTTTTTTGTTGTACACAGTTCAAGATGTCGGGCTTATAATCATTGTATCATCCTTTCGATTAATGAAAGTTTACTCTTCTTGCCGAGAATGTTCTGTGTTGTTTATCCTTTTATAAGTTGCTCCGCTTTAGAATTAGGTTGGTCGGTAGGGTCCATGGGCCTACTTCTATACTTGTTGTTTGGCGGGTCGGTCGTCAAGGGGCTTTACCTCTTTAGTGTCAGTCTTCATGGTTGGGTGGCCCTTGGGCAGGGCAAGGTCTCGATCTTGGTGGGGGAGGCTACGGTCCATGTTGACTTGTTCTTAGGCTAGTCGGGGTCTCGGATTTGATGCTATATGGCTGGGGTGAATGGCTTTGTGGCCTCATTTTGATGTTGGCCAAGGTCTTGGGCTTGACGCTAGATGGCCGGGGTCTTCAGCTTCGTGGCCTACGTCTCATGTTGGCCAAGGCCTTGGGCTTAACGCTAGATGGCTGGGGTCTTCAACTTCGTGGCCTTGACCTCATGTTGGCCAAGGTCTTGGGCTTGACGCTAGATGGTTGGGGCCTTCGGCTTCATGGCCTCAGTCTCATGTTGGCTGAGGTGCTTTCGAGCTCTCAATGTTGTTAGGGAGCTCGGTGGCACATGGTCTTAGAGAGCCTTACGCTCGTTGATTGGGGTAGCCGTGGTCCTCGACTAACTCTGCTCCAACTGTCAGTCGATTGGGTGTGCGAAGTTCGATGGCCATCCTCGTGCCATTGTGGCGGGGACGTCATTCTTGTGGCGCCCATTGGGGGCTTGTCTTGGCCTCGACCGTTTATGGCCAATCAGGTCTCTTGTGTGGTGATTGTCAGGCCTTGACTGTTTGAGGTCAGCTGGGTCGTTGACAAGGTTGTTGCCTCTTCGTGGTTGGTCAGTGCGTGTGGTGTCCGCACAAGGTGCCATGCGCGCACTAGGTCAGCAGCCTTGGCCGTTGGAGCTCGGTCTGGCTAGCACGTGTGCAATGGATCAGTGTTCTCAGGCCATTTAGAGTTTGGTCAAACTCTGTGTTGGCATTTGCTCGTTCACGCTTCGAAGAAAAATCTTTTATTTATTTTTGTACAATGCTATCCGGTCGTCGTTAGAGCTTGGAGTGGGTTGTTTTCAACACTTTGTACAATGCTATTCTAAGTTCTCGACATTCAAACTCCTCGATGTGGGCCCTCCATGCCTAGCTGTTCTCTACCCCGGAGGCCATCCCACCTGAGATGATGGCGGTGACCCTGAAGGGGAGAGCTCGGGTTGGGGGCGCACCGGCGTGGCATGCCTTCTCTCTAGGCTTATGCACTTTGATGTCGGTGAAACCATGGAGGTATCCGTGTCAGATGAGGTCTTCCAGGTGGTGGCGAAGGTCGTGACAACTTTAAGTTTCGTGGTCATGGTCCCAGTGGAATTCGCATTACCTATCTTGATCTTTCTTGTTGCCCAAGGTTTTTATCTTTTCAGGCCACCTAATGAAGTTGTTATTACATATTTGCATCAATATCTCGGCTCGCAATGCATTGAGTGGAGTGAAGTTACGATACATCGACGACGGGGTTCTCAGCCTGCAATCAACTCAATTGTCCTATCTCTTACTTTCTCGGTTTGGCTTTCGACCGTTGTGGTCTCTCCACTTTTGATCGTGCTGGCCCTCCTCATCCCTGCACAACGCTTGAGCTTCTTCAGCCTTCATGTATTTTTGTGCATGGTTCATGAGCGCGGCTAGAGTGGGTGGAGGATTCTTCTATAGAGAGATGCTGAACATTGATGAGCATAGCCCATTCATGATGGCGGCCATGGCCACCGATTAGTTTAGGCTCAGACTTGAAGGGCTTCAACGTTGAATCTCGCCAAATATCTCGGCTCGCAATGCATTGAGTGGAGTGAAGTTACGATACATCGGCGACGGGGTTCTCAGCCTGCAATCAACTCAATTGTCCTATCTCTTACTTTCTCGGTCTGGCTTTTGACCGTTGTGGCCTCTCAACTTTTGGTCGTGCTGGTGCTCCTCGTCCCTGCACAACGCTTGAACTTCTTCGGCGTTCATGTATTTTTGTGCATGGTTCATGAGCGCGGCTAGAGTGGGTGGAGGATTCTTCTATAGAGAGATGTTGAACATTGATGAGCATAGCCCATTCATGATGGTGGCCATGGCCACCGATTGGTTTAGGGCTCAGACTTGAAGGGCATCAACATTGAATCTCGCCAAATAGTCCCATAGAGTCTCTCCTCTTTTCTGGCGCACCTGCATGAGGCTGGCCAATGTTGGCCGCATTGTAGTTCTGCTGGTCTAGTTGTTGGAGGAGCCACTCTGTGGTCTGCTTGGCTGCGTTCCAGTTCAATTAATCTTTCTCGTAGGTCCTAGATCTTAGCTTCCTGATCGATTGGGGCTGCATTCATGGTCTTCTCTACTTTCGGAGTTGCATGACGGTCTCGAACCAAGCTATATTTGGATATCGAGATTAGGGACTACTGCAGGTGCTCATCAAGCTATTCTCGGGCTGGAATTGTGACGTCTTAGTGGTGAGATCTGCTATGGGCATCGTGTGCGTGATGCCGTGATGGGGAATCAGACTTCTAGGATGGCTGGTGGCGCGCATAATTTGGTTGGGTCCTTTGTTGGTCTGCATGGTGCCTTTTGGGGTCATCAGTTTGAGGATCGGTCATGGTAGGCGCATGCATGACGAGGTGAGTGACTAGGGGAGCCTGCCGGCTGTCCTAGTGTTTCCATCATGGCTAGGATACGATTGATCTTCTATTGCATGGCTTGAAACTAGGTAGGGTCGACCGTTGTTTGAGGCTGAGGTTCTCAAGGTGGAGGCATACGGAACAAATGGGATCCTCAAGACGGTGAGCGATCTATAGAGCAGTCGGATGCGTTCCTTGGCATTGTTGAGTTTGGTGTACGATAAGAGGTTAGGGGATTGGCTTTTTGTACGGTTCCAACAAACAGTGCCAATCTGATGTTGTCTAATCCAAGGTGTTTTGAATCAAGACTGCAGTCAAATAGTCCTGCCAACTAGACGATGTTGGGGTGGAAGGACAAAGTCGCACACCAAGATCTACAACCACAGGAAGGGTCAGAGGCCCGAGGAGTTATTCCTCAGGTAGGCACTCCGACGCT